CTACACGCGCAGACCTGCTGATGTGCCTGCAGCGGGAGCCCCCTAAAGCGGAGTTGCTGCAGCAGGCGGCGGCAGAGAGAGAAGCTTCAAGGCCCTCTGTGCTCTCTAGCCAGCGAATGTATCAGCGAGAAATGCTGCTCTCCTGCTGCGGAGAGGGTCCTCACAGCTGCAGCTGATGATGAAGTGGCGCTCAACCCACAACAAGAAGGGAAGGGGGGAACAGCTTCCGGCCTTCCTGAGTAACGAAAACACCTCGCTAAAGTCACGTTGCTTCGTTTCAAGTATATGTTCAAATTTAATACAATTAAATTCAATTTCATCAAGTGCTGTGGAAGAAACTGAAAACTCACTAAGTCCGCCTCCGCCACCAGCCCGTAGGCCACTAGGGCCTGTGATGGGTTGTCTGGGTGGTCTACGTGTTCAACACTTCATAAGAATGATTGAAAATAATTTTACTTCTTTAACAATGTATATTGTGCAACTTTCTGCAGTTATTATTACTCCTGATGCCACTCCTTCGCCTGCTTGCTATGCCGCAGCTGGCGTGTTTACGTATATACTATTGTCTGCCTGTCGGACCAGGCTGTGTGTGTAGTAGCAGCAGCAGGTGGATGGTGCAGCCTTTAGGGGACATTTCGTTCATGGTTTATTTTATATTTGAATAAATAATATCAATCAATTGCACTGTGCAAAATTTTATTCATGGATATTTCCTCCTTTTGAGTGAACCCCAACGCTGGCAACGTAAACACCGCGCGGTGAAGCGGGCCGGGTTCCTGAGATCGGAGGCCGAGATGCGTTTGCTTTCCGCTCTTGCAACTGAATTATGGTTTCGAAAGTATTTAAATTCAATTTCCGTTTTACCTTTCTTCAACTTTTGAATATTAAAAGAGAGCAGCGTCTGTTCCTCTCTAGCACGGCTTCTTGACTTGCGCCTCGGAGGTGCCTCTGCTCGAATCGACTTGAGGCGCCTTGCAACTCTTTACGACACCTTCGCAGAAACTTTATATATTTTCCACGCGTTTCTGCTTTCTAAATCTCAACGAGCTCTCTGTCTGCTCCTCATGCCTCTGCAACAGCTGCAGCAGTTGTAGCAGCTGTCCCTTGGTTGGTGCACTGGTTCCTGGTTTGCTGGCTGAGNCTGCAACAGCTGCAGCAGTTGTAGCAGCTGTCCCTTGGTTGGTGCACTGGTTCCTGGTTTGCTGGCTGAGGTTCTTTCTCCGTCATTTTGAGTCTTTTGCAGTGTATGTGCAGCTGATTGGTGTTTGCATCTGTGTGTGTGCATGTGCGTTGCGGGCGGGTGTACTGCGGGTTTCTGGTTTCCTCATCCTTGTATTTGGCGTCGGTGGTTTCTGAAGATGCCGCCTCGAGCAGTGGTTTGCAAGATGTGTGGGGGGGAGTTCTTCGCGCATTCGCTGCCTATACACCAGAAGACTTGTGCGGAGAAACAGCAGCACATATATCTGACTTGCCAGCACTGCGGGCTGGAAGTGCAGAAGTTGCAGCTCGACCAGCACCTTCAGAAGTGCCCCAAGCGAGTAACTCCTAAGCAGCGTGCCGGCGACAGCGGAGCCCATGGCGATGCTGCTGGTGTTGCTGCTGCTTCTGCTTTTGATTCCCAGGGGAGGCTGGAATGTGCTGTTTGCGGTCGTTGGTTTGCTGCAGACAGAATAGCAATCCATCAGGGGATATGTGAACGGCTATCATATAAACGACGACAGCCATTTGATTCATTTAAACAGCGAAGGTTTGACCCCCTTATACACCGAGCAGAAGAAAAAGTAGATGCAGCAGCACCAACAAAACGCGGTGGTGACAGACTTGCTGCTGCTGCTGCTGCTCGTCGGCCTGGCCCTGCTGCAGCTGATATTCGTGATGCTGCTGCTTCTCGGTTTCCTGCTGCTGCGGATACCCGCCCAGCTGCTTCTCCCCGTACACGTGGCTCTCGCCCAGCTGCTCGTGCTACTGGCGCTGGTCGTCCTGTTCCTACCGCAGCACAAGCAGCCCCTCGCCGGCCAGCAGCAGGCCCCCTTCGCCCCAGCGCGGGTGCAAGCGTGGGTATGGGGCGGGGCGGCGGTGCGGGGCGGTTGCCAGGAAGAGGAGGGGGNCCAGCGCGGGTGCAAGCGTGGGTATGGGGCGGGGCGGCGGTGCGGGGCGGTTGCCAGGAAGAGGAGGGGGAGGGGGGGGGGCTATCTTAGAGACAAACATCTGCAGCCCAGATAACCCTTTGGCTTACCCAAACTACCCCTCGTAATGTATTCATACTCTTTAGGGGTTAGGGTTTACGGATTAGGGTTTAGGGTTTACGGCCGCTAGAGACGTCTGCAACTCAGGCAGCAACTCTCTACACCCAGGCTACCCCCGATGACTCAGTCACCCTCCTCAGGGTTAACGGTCTGCAGCAGCAGCAACAGCAGCAACAGCTGCAGCAACAGCTGCAGCAGCAGCTGCAGCAACAGCAGCAACGTGCTGTGCACCGCGCGGGGAGACGTCTGCTTCTTGCAGCATTCCGTAGCAACCCCAATGCGTCTAACGTTGTCTTTGTCTACTGTGTTTGCCTTTTGTTTTGGTTTATTTTATTCTTTTTTCTGTTTATTCATTCATTTATTCATTTACGTAATAAGTACACGCCCCGTGGCCTTCGTTCCCCTACAAGCACATCCGTAAACCCTAAACCCTAAACCCCGCTGTTTATATGTTTTTATTTTCTTTCTGAGAACCCACGCCTATATGGGCCGTCACACCGCCAAGTCTGCCCACCCCCACACCCAAACAAGCTTTTAAAAACACCGCAACCGCCCTACCACATTCTCTGCGCCCCTGGGGGCCCCCAGGGGCCCCCATAAGACTTTCTGAGGGTCTCCAGGGGCCCCCAGAAGGTCTTGGGGCCCCCTTATGGCTTCTGGGGCTCCTGGGGGCCCCCAGGGAACCCCAAAGGATTCCTAGGGGCCCGTGCACGAATCCTCTTAGGGTCCATAGGGCAGTATGAACAGACCCAAGGGAATCCTAGGGCCCCTATGGCCCCCGTAGGGGCCCCTGAAGACATTTTCGAGGCCCCCGAGGCCCCCCCAGATGCCTGCGGGGGCCCACGCAGTTTCGTTAGGACCCATGAGGACGCCTGTTGGCCCCCTGTATAGTTGTAAGGGCCCCCAAACCGCCATAGGGGGGCCCCTGAAGAGCTCCAGGGGCCCCT